AAAAATCAAATGTCAGTGAAACATACAAAATACACTTCCTAACCATCGTAGCTGTGCAACAACAGAAGTTTCCTTGGTTCCTTCACTGACAAATACTGCCTATTTTGCGCCAACAGCGGCTAGATTTGGAGATTCTAGCAATGACTAAGACCCTGCCCTTATGTGGCTTACCCTCCAGTGAGAGAAATAAGCAAGTAAACTACACTAATTCCAGGGTCTGATAAGTATCCTGATGGAAGGAAACCAGGCTTTTGTGACCGCCAAGGGGAGGGATGTGAAACTACGAAAGATAGAACATCCAGAAAAAAGTATCTCTGAGGAGGAGATACATAAACCAAGACTTGAGAAACAGACAGAAGGTGTCTATGCAAAGAAAAAGGGCAACAGTAAGTGGAAATGCCCCATAAATACAAAGTATCTGAGAATAGTAAGAAAGCACTGTGACTGAAGCAAGGTAATGAAAGATTTTTTTTTTTTAAAGGAGATGCAAGCAATAACCACACTATGTAATGGTTTTCATCAACTTTAACAGCCTATTAGACTAACTGCATCAAAATTTCTGTGGAGCCTACACATCAGTATTTGTTTTGTGTTTAATAATTTAATAGTCTTCCAGGTGATACTAATATACTGCCTGGGATGAGAATCACTGACATTGACTGTTAGGCTACAATAAGGAATTTGGATTTTATTCTTTTCTGTTTTTTTTTTAAAGATTTTATTTCTTTGATAGAGTGAGAGAGCACAAGCAGGGGGAACAGTAGAGGGAGAGGGAGACGCAGGTTCCCCGCCAAGCAGGGAGCCCAATGCGGGGCTCAATCCCAGGACCCCGGGATCATGACCTGAGCCGAAGGCAGACGCTTAACCATCTGAGCCACCCAGGCGCCCCATGGATTTTATTCTTAACATAAGAGTGAGCCCACTGAAGAATTAAGAAGGAAACTAGTAAGACTAGTTTTATTTTTAAAAGATCACTCGGGTTGTTAGGGGAAGAAGCAAAGGGGCAAGAACAAAAAAACTGAATACTGAAAGTTTTAAGAGATTGAGTGGAGGGAGTGGAGGCGTAACAACTAGATGGTGATGGCCAAATTCCAAAAGCCTGATTTTTCAACACACTAAACAGTCAATAGGTACAATCAGAGCAGAGAGAAAAGAAAACCTACAAAAAAGGGGGCAAGCGTAAATTCCTCCAAAATACTTTACCCTTCTGACTGTGAGAATCATTTGACTACATAAGGGATTTGCTTATACTCTTCTTACATTACCACCATATATAAATTATGTACCTAAAGATTTGTTCTTTCAACAGCATTTCAAACAAAGACAAAGAATACTATTTACAATTTAAAAATGTTATCTTCAAATGACCTAAAATCTAACCTGCAAACCTATTACAGTTACATTTACTAGTGTAAAGGTAAAGTTTCAAGTTGTTTTTACTTCACGTGGAAAAAATTGTTTCTTTCACACTAAATAATAATAAATTGATATGTTCAAAAAATAATAATAAATTGATATGGAAATACAGCAATAAAAATGTTTACTAATTAAAAAATATTTATAGCTTACAAAAAGATATACCATGCTCATGGATTAGAAGATTAATATTCTTAAAATGTCATACTACCCAAAACAATCTACAGATTCAGTGCAATCCCCATCAAAATACCAATGGCATTTTTCACAGAGCTAGAACAAAGCATCCTAAAATTTGTATGGAACCACAAAAGACCCCAAATAGCCAAACCAATATTAAGAAAGGATTAAAAAAACATGGTATTACACTTCTTGATTTCAAACTACACTACAAAGCTATAGTAATCAAAACAGTATGGACTGGCACTAAAACAGACACACAGATCAATGGAATAGAACAGAGAGCCCAGAAATAAGCACACACGTATCCAGTCAATCTAGGACAAAGAAGACAAGATTATACAATGAGGAAAAGACAGTCTCTTCAATAAATGTGTTAGAAAAACTGGAGAGCTATATGCAAAAAGAATGAAACTGGACCATCTTACACCATATACAAAAATAAACTCAAAATGGATTAAAGATTTGAATGTAAGACCTGAAACCATAAACTCCTAGAAGAAAACATAGGCAGTAAGTTCTCTGACATCAGTCTTTGTAATATTTTTTTGGACTAGTCTCCTCAGGTAAGAGCAATAAAAGCTAAAATAAATATGATTACATCAAACTAAGAAGCTTTTGCACTGTGAAGAAAACCGCCAACAAAATGAAAAGGCAATCTACTGAATGGGAGAAGATATTTGAATCATACATCTGATAAGGGGTTAATACCCAAAATATATAAAGAACTTACACTCTCAAAAACTATCAAAAATAACCTGATTAAAAAATGGGCAGAGGACCTGAGCAGACCATAATGAAATATTGCCTCATACCTGTCAGAATGGCTAAAATAAAAAAGACAAGAAATAACAAGTGTTGGTGAGGATGTGGAGAAAAAGAATCCCTCATGCACTATTGGTGGGGATGAAAACTGGTGTAGAAGACAGTAAGGGAGGTTCCTAAAAAAAATTAAAAATAGAAATAGCATATGATCCAGTAATTCCACTACTGGGTATTTATCCAAAGAAATAAAAAAACACTAATTTGTGGGACACCTGGGTGGCTCAGTTGGTTAAGCATCCAACTTTTGATCTCAGCTCAGGTCTTGATCTCAGGGTTGTGAGTTCAAGCCCCACACTGGGCTCCATGCTGGGCGTGGAACCTACTTAAAAAACAACAAAACAAAACCACAACAAAACACTAATTTGAAAAGATATATGCACCCTTGTTTACTGATTATTTACAGTAGCCAAAATAAGGAAGTAACCCAAGTGTCCATACATAGATGAATGGATAAAGAAAACATGGTATGTATGTACGATGAACTATTACTCAGCCATAAAAAAGAATAAGATCTTTTCACTTGCAACAACATGGATGGACCTAGAGAGTATAACACTGAGAAATAAGAGAAAGACAAACACCATATAATTTCACTCATATGTGGACTTTTAGAAACAAAACAAAGAAAAAAGACAAAAAAAACACTCTTAAATACAGAGAGCAAACTGGTGGTTGCCAGAGGAGATTGGGTAGGTGGATGGGTAAATAAAGAAAGGGGAGTAACAGAACACTTGTTCTTACTTGTTACATGATGAGCACTGAGTACTGTATAGAACTGCTGAATCATTACATTGTATACCTGAAACTAATAACACTGTATATTAATTACACTTTAATTAAAAAAAAGGGGGGGCGCCTGGGTGGCTCAGTCGTTAAGCGTCTGCCTTCGGCTCAGGTCATGATCCCAGGGTCCTGGGATTGAGCCCCACATCGGGCTCCTTGCTCCGCAGGAGATCTGCTTCTCCCTCTCCCACTCCCCCTGCTTGTGTTCCTGCTCTCGCTCTCTGTCAAATAAATAAAATATTTAAAAAATAAAAATAAAAAAAAAGTGGGGGGAGGGGGCAGAGACCTGAGTAGACATTTTTCCAAAGATGACAGGATGACATACAGATGGCCAACAGGTACATAAAAAGATGCTCAACGTAACTAATCCTCAGGGAAATGCAAATCAAAACCACAATGAGGTACTACCTCACACCTGTCAGAAAGGCTAAAATCAACAACACAAAAACAACAGGAGTTGGTGAGGATGTAGAGAAAAGGGAACCCTCTTATACTGTTGGGAATGTAAATGGTGCAGCCACTACAGAAAACAGAATGGAAGTTCCTCAAAAAATTAAAACCAGAAATGCCATATGATCCAGCAATCTACTTTTGGATATTTATCAAAAGACAATGAAAACACCAATTTGAAGAGATACACACACCCCTATGTTCACTGCAGCATTATTTACCACAGCCAAGATACGGAAGCAACCTAAGTATCTATCGACAGATGAATGGATAAAGATGTGGTATATATACACAATGGAATATTACTCAGCCATAAGAAAGAGATCTTGCCATTTGTGGCAACATGGACGGGGAGAGTATGATGCTAAGTGAAATAAGATGAAGACAAATAGACCATATTTGTCTTTCACTTGTATGTGGAATCTAAATACCAAAACAAAAGAACAAAACTAAACAGACTCACAGATATAGGAAACAAACTGTTGCTTACCAGAGGAGAGGAAGGGTTGGGGATGGGAAGGGACAAAATAGGTGAAGGGGATTAAGAGGAACAAACTTCCATTTATAAAATAAATTAAGTCACAGGGATGTAATGTGCAGCACAAGGACTAAAGTCAGTAATATTGTAATAATTTTGTATGGTGACAGATGGTAACTAGACTTATGATGGGTATCATTTAATAATGTATAAAAGTATTGAATCACTGTGATATATATATATACCTGAGACCAACAAAATACTCTGTGTCAATTATACCTCAAAAAATTTGTTATCTTAAAGGAACTGAAACTTGAATTATGCTATTTCATCAACTTGGTAATTATTTTCAAGTAATCCTCTTTAACCTTTAACTTAAAGTCTGAATAGTTCCCTACAGTTTATTCTGAAAATTTCATTTGCCAGCATTTTTGCCACTTTCTCTGATATGAAGACAACAGGTCAGGTTATTTTAACTTTAGTACTGTTGCCTTTCTTAAAGAAGAAAGTGAAATGTATCTTATACACATCTCTCAAAAGTGAAAAACATCTGGCTCCACTTCTCTCATTTCTGTTATCTATCTGGTCCCTCTAGACTTTATGACTTTGTAAGACACTAAAACAGAATTAGGGCAGTAGTTTCTAGTCCTAATTAGCTTTTCAATATTATAACTAATGATATTCCAGGTATTTTTATGGTAAAATAGGATATTAGGTAAAGTTACTACATCAATTATCCCAAACAATAAAATATATCTAATAGAAAAATCAATGCAAATTCATAGCATTTGATATTTAAGCTCAAAATACCATGAAGTTTAATATCTAAGTCCAATATATACAGCTTTTAAAAAGAGAAGAAAATTACCTTTCAACAGATGATTGAGGTCCATTGTGTCATGTAGGGCTTTTTGTTTATATCTGTGGTCTGAACTGGAATCTAACACTGAAGATTTTGATGTGAGATCAGGCCCATGTTTATCTTGCCCTTTTTTGGTTGATTTCATCGATTTTGAATTATTTTTTAAATCCTCAACATTTCCATATACTTCTTGACTCACGTTTTCTTGCCTTTTAACTTTTACTTTTTGATCATTTGATGCTCCCAGTTCAAAAGATTGAACAGGGCTGATGTCTGGAGTTGACAGAGGAGTGACATCTGTCACAGTATCTTCAGATTCCTCATGGTAGTCATTGACTGTTGGTTTAGCACTTGAAGGCTGTATTCCTGTTGATTTCATTCCTGGTTTATATTTCTGTTTTGGTGACAAGTGGGTTACACCACATAGACGTTTCTTTAATGATGGCGATGAATCAGAAATACAGATATCAGACCCTGCATCTGAACAATCTGTGCCTGAACTTGAAGATGAGGAGGACAAAGAGGAAGAGGAGGAGGAGGAATTACTTTTGGAATATTTTTTACTTATGTTTTTTTTAAAGTTATTAGATGGTTTAGCTGACTTGGACCTGACATGTTGCTTTTTCCCATCATCACTGCTTTCCTCTCCATCTGTATAATAATTATCTTCACCTTCTTTTATAATTTTGGGACTTCTACTTGGAGTGGGCAAGTGTATTTTATGCCCTGTTGTAGCATCCCACAATTTTTTTGATCTTGAAGTGGTCAATGATAAAGAATTTCTGGTTTGCATATTATCATTTTCTACAGGGTGGTGTTCTGGAGTAATTTTCTCCTTTATTGCATTTTCCTTCCTTTGTATTCCAAATTTCAAGTTTACATTTTCTGTATCTTTATCTATTCTCTCTTTAGGGTCATCATTTTGCTTGCCAAAAACTGAGTTACTTTCACATTTCTCTGCTTCTTCAAAGTCACTGTCAAAGAAGGAATGGTCCACTTCACCTTCTGATACATCTATAAACCGATCCATGATGGTAAAAATATATCTGAAAAAGAGGCCAGTGTTATCATCAAACCAAAGAATAATTTCCCAATACTTTTCACTTTTTATAGTAATTGCAGATCCCAAACTGAGAAGTTTGATTATAGAGAAACATGACAAAAAAACACCAAAAAAAAATAGTAACTCAGTGAAGCGATAATCAGGCTACATGGGTAATAATAAATTGTGATTTGAAACATAAGTAAGTCTAATAGTTCAGTTCACAAGAGTACTCAAGGCAAACATATCACAAACATATACCTAGGTGAATATCCATACACCTAGGTGAACCTAGGTGAACCCTAAGGAAAATCTACCTTCTATAAGTACAATTAGAGTTTAGAATAAGAAGGGATGGTGTTACAACCTCCCCACATCAGCTAAGCCATCTTGAATTTAGAATTTGACCTCTAATACTATTCTCCACTAAAACACACACAAAAAACCCCAAAAAACAAAAACCAACAATCAAAAAACCGTAACGACTTGGAAGGCAGCTGATTCTATTTTTGGAGGGAAAGAAAAACAAGGGCCTAGAATATCTTACTGTTATCAGAAGGCACAGTATTCAAATATGCCTGATATCGTGGTAATACAACAACAGCTCTAGTTTAAAGGGGCTTCCACTGTCCACACTGGACAATTTAGTACTGGAAAACAAATCACACAAAATATACTTAAAAATGAAAAAGTACTTCTGTAGAAAGCTATTAGTTCGTAAAGATATTCAAAAGGGCAAATAATATGAGGTACGTTAAAGAAAGGTAAGTATAAATTTCTAGTAATATATAGCCAACAATCCAATTATGCACTCAGTATATTCAAATTATGATTAATTCTACTACAATAAAAAATTATGTAATCTGTCTTCTAAATCAGCCACAATACTCTGGAGCCTTTAATTGCTTAAGTGATCCCACAACCTATAAAACAAGTACAAACATGATTTAAATGTCAACCAAATTCATACTATTAGTAATAGGTTAATAAGACAGATTCGAGGTATGTGTGGTAATACATTTTATCATCATTGGGTAACTTTTTCTGCCTTTAAGGTTTTGAAGAATTTAAGAGATTCTGACATATTAAACAAAAAATTTAACTATTTGCAATCAACTTTTAAATGCTTAAGGAAATCTGATTAATTGAATTAGTAAGTTAAGACTTATTAGATTTACTAAAAATGTCTAAGTGCTTAGCTAGACTTCCTTTATTAGATGTGTAAGTATCCCTTGTCAGGGGTTCAAGGTACTTAAGAAAATAAAATACACCAAAATTGTAGTTGTGCTGTTCATAAACAGTATAGAATGTTCAGGGAAAATTAAGCTAAGTGAAGATTAATCAAAGTACAAATGAGTTTTAAAATTCTAACACATTATTAGATTTAAATTGAGATAAGATATGTAAGCAGATCTTAAAAGTTTAAGAAAAATCAGATAACTTATACCGAAATAATAAATACAAGAAATATTATTTCCCACAGCACAGATCAATGCCCTCGTAAGTTTCAAAACTCAAATCAACAGAAGGATGCCTCCTCCACAGATCCTCAAAGATATTTAATAAGGTTTCAGATGTCATATTTATCCACATTGAAATTAAAGTTTACTTTCTTAATTTATAAAAATTGAAACTTATCTCCTTGGCATTTGGCAATTAATTTTCAGAGCCATAAGAAAGTCATAAGCCTTTGAATCAGTACCTTCATTTCTGAAATTCATTCTAAGAATGTAATACTAAAAAGAAAGAATGGTGTGCGTTATAGTATTACCTGTAATACTGAAAAAAACTTGAAGAGAAGAATATTATGACTCCATCAAAAGAATTATTTATATCAGGGGTCAGCAGGCTACTGTGCATGAGCCAGATCTGACCTGCCATTTGTTCTTGTAAATAAAGTTTTACTGGAACACAGCCACAGGTTTAGATATTGTCTCTGACAGCTATAACTGCAGAGTTGAGCAGCTGTGACAGAGACCATATAGCCCACAAAGCCTAAAATATTTACCAACTGACCCTTTACTGAAAGTTGTGGACCCCTGATTTAGGTGATATATCAGCATGAAAAACGCACAATACAAAACTGTTATCCAGGGCGCCTGGGTGGCTCAGTTGGTTAAGCGACTGCCTTCGGCTCAGGTCATGATCCTGGAGTCCCTGGATCGAGTCCCGCATCGGGCTCCCTGCTCGGCAGGGAGCCTGCTTCTGCCTCTGACCCTCCCCCCTCTCATGTGCTCTCTCTCTCTCATTCTCTCTGTGTCAAATAAATAAATAAACTCTTTAAAAAAAAACAACAAAAAAACAACAAAAAAACCCCTGTTATCCACACTGGAATAATAATACAATTTACACATTTAAACAAAAACTAGGGGGGAAAGGGCAAAATTAAGTTGACCTGTTAGAAGAAAACCAACAATTCCACTGCATTTTTAATATTTCCATTACTGTTTTTAGAATAGTGTCCCTGCAATAAATTAAGCAAATAAGTGATGACTGGGAGTCTGCACAATGATAAAGAATGAATGGAGTCAGACACACTCAGGCTCAAACTTGGTTCTGCCACTTCCCAATTGTGTTTCTGGGCACATGTACAAGGATGTTCATCATAGCACTACTGTTTGTAATAGCAATGAGTTAGGAAAAAACTCAGTGTCTAATAAGAGGAAAACGGATAAGCAAAATGTTGTATAAGATATACTATATGTCCATCAAAAAGGATGAGCTGAGATATACAAAATGTTTATTAAAAGAGAATTAAATGGGGGCACCTGGGTGGCTCAGTTGGTTAAGCGACTGCCTTCGGCTCAGGTCATGATCCTGGAGTCCCTGGATCGAGTCCCTGGATCGAGTCCCACATCGGGCTCCCTGCTCGGCAGGGAGTCTGCTTCTCCCTCTGACCCTCCCCTCTCTCATGTGCTCTCTCTCATTCTCTCTCTCTCAAATAAATAAATAAAATCTTTAAAAAAAAAAAAAGAGAGAATTAAATGAACAATTATATAAAACTTAAAACACACATGATACTGAATTCCTCATGGGCACAAAATTACATAGCATGGACTGGAAGGACATCGTTCAACAGCTAAGAGTATGAGGCTGTAAGGGGAGAGAAAGGATGAAGGTGAAGAAGCCCACAGGGGGTAAAAAATAAAGAACCTGGCAGAGGCCTGTGATCATTGGTCTTCACATCACAAAGAATAGGACTGAGGGGTACCTGGCTGGCTCAGCAAGTTGAGCATGTGACTCTTGATCTCAGGGTTGTGAGCTGGAGCCCCATGTTGGGCGTAGTGCCTACTTAATTAAAAAAAAAAATTATGACTGAACATTGTCAATCTAATTCTGTTCACCTGACTTCAAAAAGGAAACCAACAGATCAAAGCAGCCACTGAATGGTGGATAGCTCTTATAAACATTATTTTGTCATCAAATTCTCAATAAAGTTACCCTCTTTTGTAAGGTAATTAACTCTTTAATCCAAATGTCAAGGGATGGAATAAAAAAGGGTTGCAGATATTTTTTCTCTCTCACTTTGTTACGTGGTTAAGAATACCTTTGTGATTAAAGAAATTTGGGGGGGGGCGCGGGGCACCCGGGTGGCTCAGCCTCATTAAGGGTCTCTCAATTTCAGCTCAGGTCATGATCTCAGGGTCGTGAGATCCATGATCTCAGGGTCATGAGATAGAGTATGGAGCCTGCTTAAGATTCTCTCTGTCCTGCTCCCTCTTGCCCCTCCCTCCACCTCTGCTTGCCTGTGCGCTCTCTCAAAAAAAAATTTTTTTTGAAGTTTCTTCAAATTTTAAAAACAAATGGTTTCATGGCAGTGCCCAGAGCATAAATTTCCCTAGTCAGTTTAAAAAACAACTCTTTCAAAAACAAATCATCCAAATCATTCTCACTACCATGCCTCAGAAAAACTTGTTTACATTTTTCAGGAAATACACAAAATTACTAACATAACTAAGTCTCATTTGTATTAGTGCTACTATTCTAGTACAACTAACAGCTAAAATGTATCTAAGTTTAAGAGGTTTTTATCATTCCCATTTACCAATGAGAAAAATGAAGCAGCGCAAGAACTTGCCCAGAGTCACATAGCTTGGTAAGTGGCACAGCCATGATTCTAAGGCAGGCATAGTTTAAGGATGTTATTAATCACTGTTTATTCTGCTTCAAAGTAAGGTCCTTAAGTAAGATCTGTTTGTTTTTAACCTTTAGAATACATTGCTGTGATATCTATGATTTATCTGATAGTGAACTGTCAGCAAGATAACAAGATGTTCTCACCACTGGGACTTTTAAAGGAAAATGGGACCTATTTAGCAATATGGATTTAGGAACAGAAAAGGATGGTCTGTACAGTTACAATTAGATACACATGCCAGTGACTGTCACACATTTTGCTGGGATTTATTTGCTATGTAGCAGTTTTCCACTAACAAAGTAAATGGGAACAAACCTCACTGGAACCATAAATTAAATAAACCAGTAGTAGCCTTGAGTAAATTAAAAAGCGTTAATCTAGGTAATAAGAATTCAGAACTTTAAATTAACTTATGACCCTCTCTATCCCAATCTGAGCTTGTGACCAAACCACCTTTCCAAAGACAGTAGTGAGTTCCAAAGGTATTTCTGACAAGGAGAGTGACAATTCTGGAAGTCACTAACTTGAAATGTTTCCAGCATGCCTCCTCTTTATGTGTTTGGCATATCAAGTCAAATGTTGTGATCCCTGATAACCTTGAGTGAGACCTATTTAAAGTCCCCTACAAAGGTGCATGGCAAAATAATCAAGTTAGAGCTAATACCCTTCCCCTACCCTCAGAGTTCCCCAACAGCCCTGAAAGGAAAAAATTTCACCCCCTTACATTAGGAATGAAGAGACTAAGGCCTAGCAATTTAAATGCCTTTAACAATTTAAATTAGTTTGTATCAAGTATGCCTTTTACGACTTCAAGCTTTATCGAATTTGTGAATTAAAAAAAATGAGATGGACAGTTGAAAATAAGGATTCAAAGGTTCTGGATAAATGGAAAAGAAGCTAATGTTCATACAGATTTTATTATGTGCCAAGCACTGTTTTAAGCACTCTTTCATTGATCACTTACCATGGATTATTTTCACTGACCATTTAATACTGGTAACAACTCTGAGGCTAGAGACAAGGAAACTGAAGCACAGAGGTTAACTGACATTTTCAAAGACCACATGGCTAGAAAGCAGCAGAGTCAGGATTTGAATCCAGACAGTCAGCAGTCTTACTGATTCTGCTATACTGAAACAAGCAGAGGAAAATTAATAAGCCAAAAACCTAATGGGGAGGTGTATTTGAAATAGCCAAATAATAACACAATAGCACAGACACAGAATGAGGGAAGGTGAGGAGGGAAGGTGCACTGTGGGCCCCAGCTTAAAAGAAGGTTTACTGAAAAAAGACTTGGGAGCTTACCAAGTGGCAAAAGCATGACTTAGAAATCAAGATTAAAATGCTCTTAAATCATACCGGGATAGCAATATGCAGTCTTAAGGTAACTTGCATTATATACTGCTTGGTCAAACTACTTCTTGAATGAAGCATCTAGCTCTCAGTGCTATGGTGAAGAGTCTAGAATCTAAGTCATGATCAATGGTTCATAGAACAAGGGATTCATAGCTAGTAAAAGTAATGGCTAAGAGAAAGGGTATGCTCAGATATTTAAAGGACTGTGATATGAAAAAAAAATTTTAGAGCTGTTATTTGTAGTTCAGAGGTAGAACTTGCATCAATAGATGTAATATATAAGAAACCTGTTCTTAAATCAACCTAAGAATTGTTCAAAATGGAATGGGCTACTTTCTAAGATTATGAGCCACGAGTCACTAGATAACGTTGGAGCAAAAACTGAATGTCCACTTGTTGGGATGCCACAGAGGGAATTCATGCATTAGGAGGATATCATTTTCCCAACCATAACATTTTATGAACTAGGTCTAAATCCCAACATCTATTTGTAATCCAAATGATTAGGTAGTTCTTTGAAATGTGTTTTTCATAGCTAACAGTTTGTGCCTTATCTCCTTACCAAACAGGGAACTCCTGGATCTTGCTCATCTTTATATCCGCAGTGCCTAACTAGGATCTGACAAGTATTAGACATTCAAAGAATGTTTATCTGATGAAGGAGTTTGTGGAGTTAGGAGACTTAAGATTGAACTCTAGTTCTGCTCTTTGCTATGTAAGCAGAAAAATCACTGCTTTTCCCTGAGCTGGCTCCTTGACAGTTTCCCACAATCGTCCCCCCCGCCCGCCCCCCTACCACACACACCAGAATTAACCATCCCCTTATCTGTATTCACATGGTTGATGTAGTCCTCAACAGTTAAGGACCCACCTTACTAAGTCGTCACAGTTCATGAGAGGTGGCACATAACACCTGGGAGACTTTTCAGGCATAACATCCAACAGATAGGGTTATTATTAAGGATTTAAGCTCTCTGGTTATTTAACTGAATTTATGGGAAAATTATCCAATGATCCCATCCACTAAGCAATCCTTCCGATAACACTTATTTCAAAGTTAGTGAGATTCAATTTACATTGGAAAATAAAAATGTGGACTTAAGATTGTGAAGATTCTCTTTACAACATATTGGGAAAGGATAAAACTTAAATGATAATTCCTTTAATAAGTCTTTGGGGCTCAATGAAAACCGGTATTTGTCAAAGCTGCCTGAGCGTCACTTGGACACTCACCACCATTTGCATCGCTCCTGCAGGGCCAGCAACAGAAATACTAAAGCTTTTTAAGATACATCAGGAAAACACAAATAAGAATCTGGCATTTTTTAAACTGTCATTTCGTTACTGTGACATCACATTATTTCTGTAATTAGGTGTATAATACGGTCCAAACAAGATTGGGTCCACGAAAATCTCGGCCCAGAGTAAACACCCGTTTTCCAGGGACTCGAGTCAAGGGCCCGTTCACCACCCCCTCCTGACCATCCCCTTTCCCCGCCCCGCACGGGAGGCAGAAGATAACTGAGAGCCCCTGAGGCTCCGGAGTTCAGAGTCGAGTCCTCAGGGGTGGGCGGCGCCGACCCGAACCCGGCTCCCAGTAACCACCCCTTCTCGACTCAGGGCCGACGCCCCCAGGCCATCCCCGAACGCATCCCGGAGGTAGGCCCGGAGGTTCCCATAGGGGCCGGCTGGGGCTGCGGGCGGCCCCACGGACCCGCCGGCCGCGGGCTCGGACGCCTTTGTTGTGGTTACACACGCCACCCGAGGGGCTGGCTGGGCCGCAGGGCCGACGGAGCAAAGGGCTGGGGGTCCCGGCCCGCCCGCCTTCCTAACCTCCCGCGCTGGCTTCCTCATACCGACCCTGAGTGCTCGCCGCTGTCTGGGCTCCAGAGAGGGGAAACGGATCCCGAACGGAGGCGAGCGTGGCGGGCGCGTCGCGGGCGGGGAACAAGGGGCTGCTGGCGCACCGCTTACTTGGCTGCCGTGGCCGTCGCAGCCGTCTCGCACGCCGCCAGCGGCGTTCCAGGGTCGCGCGCACGCAGCACCGCGCGCACGCGGCTCCCAGCGGCACGGCTCTTGCTTCCGGAGGCGGGGAGAACGGAAAGGGAAAGGAGGGGGTGCAGAGGGAGCGGCGCGAGTACCGCGGGAACTGGATGGAGGCGGAGCGTGCGGCTCGGCGCCTCCTCGTGGCTCCTCGCGGAGGGCGTCATAGAGCGCGGTGGGCCCGCCGAAGGCCTAGAGGGGCTCGAGCGCCGCGCCCCCTTGCGGGAGGCGGGGAGGGGGAAGCGAGGCCCGCGACTCCCGAGCGGGAAGGGACACGTGAAGAAATAAACCTTGGAGGCCGTTAGTTGCCCAGTGCACCGTTAGGGTCTTACTGCTACTGTCCTCGCTATTAATGGCAATGCGGGTGGACCTAGTTGTTACGGTGGCTGATCGGGAAAGTGGCTTCAATTATCTTGTAAGTTTTTACCAAAACAACAGCAGTAGTAAATGGGGGCAGCTGTGACTTTGTCATTCTTTTTATCAGCAAAGCTCAGATCAAAGAACCAGTTGGTTCTATGATCCAAGAGCTGGTAACACATTAGAAAGTCCTCTGACTACTGGTGAATGAAGTGGGTGGTTAAAACAAGAAAAAAAACCTGTGGAATATGCTGAATGCCATAATTTTTCGGATTTGAACTCAACAGGCACACAGTAGGTGGGGTAGAATAATGGTGCCCCAAATATGTACACTTCCTAATCCCTGGAACGTGTGAAGAGGCCATTTAACGTGGCAAAAGGGACTCGGTGCTATGTGGTTAAGGATCTTGAGATGGGAAAATCAACCTAGATTATTCAGGTGAGTTTGATATAATCATATAGATTCTTAAAAATGAGAGTCAAGGGGCGCCTGGGTGGCTTAGTTGTTAAGCGTCTGCCTTCCGCTTGGGTCATGATCCCAGGGTCCTGGGATCCAGCCCCGCATCGGGCTCCCTGCTCAGCGGGGAGTCTGCTTTTCCCTTTCCCACTCCCCCTGCTTGCGTTCCCTCTCTCGCTGTGTCTCTCTGTCAAATAAAATCTTTTTTTTTTTTTAAGATTTTATTTATTTTTATCTGAGAGAGAGGGAGTACATGAGAGGGGGGAGGGTCAGAGGGAGAAGCAGACTCCCTGCCGAGCAGGGAGCCCGATGTGGGACTTGATCCCGGGACTCCAGGATCATGACCTGAGCCGAAGGCAGTCGCTTAACCAACTGAGCCACCCAGGCGCCCCACTGTCAAATAAAATCTTTAAAAGAGAGTCAAGAAGTTTGGAGCCATTAATAGGAGTGGTGGTCGTAGAAGCAAGAGGTTGTAGCGTAGAGCACCGTGACTGTAGTTAACAATACTGTACTGCATATTGGAAAGTTAATACAGTAGATCTTAAAAGTTCTCATCACAGACAAAAAACGTTCTCAGGGGTGCTTAGGTGACTCAGTCAGTTAAACCCCCAACTCTTGATTTCATCTCAAGTCATGATCTCAGGGTGGTGAGATGGAGCCCCATGTGAGGCTCTAGGCACTGAGGCTGGAGCCTGCTTAAGATTCTCTCTTTCCTTCTCCCTCTGCCCCTCCTCTCACTTTCACTCTCTCTCTCTCTCTAAAAAAAAAAAAAAAAATTCTCATCACAAGAGAAGAAATATGTAACTGTGAGGTGATGGATGTTAACTAGACTTATTGTGGTATTCATCTCAATATATACATGTATTATGTTGTACACCTTAGACTTATATGTTGTTATATATAAGTTATATTAATAAAACTGTAAAAATTTTTTTAATTTAAAAAGAGCAGCAAGAGGTCAGAGTGATGTAAGGGGGCCTTGACTCAAGGAAAGCAGGCATCTCTGGAAGCTGACAAAGGGAAGGAAAGGTATTCTCCCCTGAAGCCTCCTGGAAGAATGCAGCCCTGTCAATACCATGATTTTAGACTTCTGACCTCCAGAACAGAAAGAATAAGTTTGTGTTGTTTTAAAGACTAAGTTTGTAGTAATTTATTACAGCAGCAATAGAAACCTAATGCAATGGGTACTCAATACAGTTTTCACATGAAAGTGCAAAGAAAGCTAGGAACTATGGGTTACCCATATCCTAGGGAGTGTCACTAAGGAATTGACTCTATTTTTGTGCTTTACAATGTATCTTGTACTTTTGGGTTGTAATTGCCAACAAGTACACAGGATCATTTTGTTGTTTTTGTAGGCTAAAAGGCAGGATTTCACTTAATTCTGCTTGATGAAACTATGCTGGTACCATTTCCCAGGGACGAGTGTCTACTCTGTGGTCAAAAGTTTGTTATACAAAGGGTTTGAAGAAACATTTTTCCAAAGAAGTTACACAAATGGCCAATAAGCACATGAAAGGATGCTCAACATGACTAATCATTAGGGAAATGCAAACAAATCATGAGATACCACTTCACACACATTAGGATAGCTATTATAAAAATAAGAGAGAAAATAAAAAGGATTGACAAAAACGTGGAGAAATTGGAAACCTTGTGTATTGCTCATGGGAATGTGAAATGGTGTGACTGCTGTGGAAAAACTATGGCAGTTCCTCAATAAATTGAACACAGAACTACCGTATGAGCCAGCGATTTCACTTCGGGTATATACCTGAAAGAATTGAAAGCAGAGTCTCAAACAGATATTTGTACACCCACGTTCATAGTAGCATTATTCACCAAAGCCAAAAGATGGAAACAACCCAAATGTCTATCAACAGATGGATAAACAAAATGTGGCATATTCATACAGGAATATTATTCAGCGATAAACAGGGATGAAGTTATGATACATGCTACAACATGGATGAATCTTGAAAACATTATGCTAAGTGAAATAAGCCAGGCACAAAAGAACAAATATGACCCCACCTGTATGAAGTACCTAAAATAGGCAAGTCACAGTAACAGAAACTAGAAGTGGGGTGCCTAACTAGCTCAGCTGATGGGAGTGTGCAATTCTTGATCTTGGGGTTGTGGTTTTGAGCCCCATATTGGGTGTGGAGATTGTTTAAAAATAAAATCTTTGAAAAAAAAGAATAGAGGTTACCTGGGGCTTGGGGGGTGGAGAGGGGAGGGGGAGTTCTTGTTTAATACGTGCAGAGTTTCAGTACAGGATGACGAAAGTGATCTAGAGATGGATACTGGTGATGGATGTACAACAGTGTGAATGTACCTAGTACCACTGAACTGTACACTTAAAAATGGTTAAAATATTAAATTTTGTGTATGTTTTATCATGATAAAAAATAACAAAAAAAGATTATATCTTAAACTTTAATTTTGGCTCTTTCTGGACTATAAATTTATAAAATTTTGCCTTTTCCCTGGCTTTCTTTTCCTGCAAAGAGCACATCCTCATTAGTCCATATTGAATGAATGAATCAATGAACATATGAAATAGATTGTAAATAAGCTTTTTTTTTTAAAAAGATTTTTATTTATTTGACAGAGACACAGTGAGAGAGGGAACACAAGCAGGGGGAGTGGGAGAGGGAGAAGCAGGCTTCCCGCGGGGCAGGGAGCCCGATGTGGGGCTTGATTCCAGGACCCTGGGATCATGACCTGAGCGGAAGGCAGACACTTAACGACTGAGCCACCCAAGCACCCCTATAAATAAGCTTCTTCAGGACAGAGATTTTAATTTCTTTGTGCCGCTTCATAATTCTGGTCAGAAACGGTCATCAACTTATAAGTGAAAAAAGGATCTTCTCCAGATTCATTGAATCTGGACTCTTTTATCAGAAAAGATGAAAATAATATCCCCTGACCCCTTTTCAAAAGTTGTTTTTCACTTATTAAAAACTTCTTGAAACAGAATATAGGCTTGACTGTTTCTGTAGAGAGCTATTAAAAGACCTTTTTGCATAATAGCTGGAGGTTTTTTCATCTATGCTAAACTTTATGTTATGAGTAAATGGATTTAAAAAAAAAAACTTAGGAATTAAGTTTTGAAGGATGAAGTCTTTCCGGGGTTGAAGTTTATAAACCAAATTGAAACTAAATGTAGTTAAGTTTCATATATTTTAAGTATCTAAAGGGGGGTACTTCAAAATATCTAAATGCTGTAAAAGGAAATTGAGAAAGCAAAATGACTTAGATTCACATTTGAATTTCCTGAACTTCCACAAAGCAGAATTAGTAGCTCTCTTCTTGCCACCATAGAACTTTATAATACCTTAGTAATATATATTACATTGCTTTATGCTTCCCCCCCCCAATTAGAATGTGAGCTCTTCAAGGACAGAGACCATATTTTTTTTTTTTTAAAGATTTTATTTTATTATTTATTCATGAGAGACAGAGAGAGAGACAGAGGCAGAGGGAGAAGCAGGCTCCCCGTGGAGCAGGGAGCCCGATGCGGGACTCGATCCCAGGACCCTGGGATCACGACCCAAGCCGAAGGCAGACGCTTAACTGACTGAGCCACCCAGGCGTCCCGAGAGCATATTTTTTTAAAGATTTATTTATTTTAGAGAGATGGGGCAGAGGGATAGGAAGAGAATCTCAAGCAGACCTCACTGAGCAGGGAGCCTGATGTGGGGCTCGATCCCACAACCCTGAGATCATGACCTGAGCTGAAATCACGAGTGGGACACTTAACCAACTGAGCCACCCAGGCGTCCCCAGAGACTGTGTTTTATACTGTTTTCTAACAAAGCACCTAGCTAATATTTTTGGACTGAATGAAAGAATGAATAAAAGTCACATACTACCTTCCAGAAGTTTACAGTCTATTTAAAAGCCGGATGAATGCTATTATTATTGTATTGGTTTTGTAAGGACATTATTTGTATAATATAGAAAGCAGTTTGTTTTGCCCTTTGACAATACTTTTAACTATTTGAAAGATGGCATCATGGAGGAGAATCTTGTAATTTAGGTTCACCACTTACTAGCTGTGTGATTTTTGAACAAGTCATTTAACTTCGCTGAGCCTCAGTTTCCTAATCTGGAAAATGAGATTATAAAATTTACCTTATGTCCTTTATAGAGTTATAGTGAGGAACATATGTTTTAAAAAGGATTTCCAAAAGTTGAAGTTTCCATTAAGGGGAACCTGGGTGGCTCAGTCAGTTAGGTATCTGCCTTTGGTGTCATGATCCCGGGGTCCTGGCATCTAGCCCAGCATCTGGCTCCCTGCTCAGCGGGACATCTGCCTGTGCTCTCCTGCTCTCTCAAATAAATAAAATCTTAAAAAAAAAGTTTCCATTAAAATATGAGATTATTTTTACTACTTTTTTGGGTCTACTCAATTATTCTAGATATAGTATCATGGAAGAATATCAGATTTATTCATTCAAAAGTATTAAGGGCCTACTCTGTGCAACCCCTATTCATACTCTAATATTAATTTTTACTTTCTATAGGTATGTTCTCTTTCCTAGAGCAAATAAATGACAAATGAAAGACATGGGCTTCTTTTTGGCAGTATATAAAAGCTTTATATAATATTAAATATATAGTGTTAATCTGAAAATATTCAAAATCCTTTCCTAATTTATGCAAGTACATTTAATCAATATTGTGTCCTGCCTACTTTATATTTTACTCTGCTCATAATATATATCATGAAAAAGCATAAAGATCAGTTCAAAAAGTTTTTTTTTTTGGTCCACATGCATTTTGGAGAAATTAGATAATAAGTAAACACAATTTATATTCTTTCTTTATCATCTGCTGCCCAATAATACTGGATATCAAATCTAAGTGAGTGTAGAATTTTTTTCACTTTGTTTCATAACTTGAAAATATTAGAGTAAAATAAAGCTAAATGATATAGCTATAACCCCAAACTCTTCACTGAGAAACATAGTTGTATACTATCTCCCTTCCCCCTATCCTTCCCTAGGTCATTTTGTTCATTTTATAGGTAAATGGGATTAGATTATGAAGAACTATCAATTCCAGGAACAAGAAATGTGAACTTTAACATATTTACAGTGATAAGTCACTGGATACCACTGATTTTGGTGTGCAGCCAGATGATCCACAAGATACTGATTAGTGTATTCTGTCAAAGCAAATTGTGGTAGGTTGTTAAAGTAATGCAACCAATGAATTTTACTCCCCATATTTAAGCCCATGTGTAGACCTCTCCCTGTTTAATTACTGGTTGGGCCATATGATTTGCTTTGGCCAATGGGACATTAGCAAACGTAAGGTAAGCAAAAGCTTAAAAAAACCTTGCACATGGCATCCCTGAGACTGTCATGTGAAGAAGGCCAAGCTGACCTTTTGGAGGGTAAGTACACAGGGAGCAGAGACAAGCCATCTCAATAGAGACTCCATAGATCTAACAGCCCCAGCCTATGCAACCAGGAGACCATAGTTTCATTAGTGACCCCAGGCAAGAAGAGCAGAATTGCCCAACTGACCCCAGTCCAAATTGCTGACCCACAAAAGCATAAGCAAATGAAATAGTTGTTATTTGGTGGTAGCTTGTTATGCAACAATAGATAATTGACACACCATATTTCCAGTGTGTCTTCTTTTGGATAATACTTAGTTTTTGTTTTGTTTTGTTTTTTAAAGATTTTATTTATTGAGAGAGAGAATGAGATAGAGAGAGAGCATGAGAGGGGGAGGGTCAGAGGGAGAAGCAGACTCCCTGCTAAGCAGGGAGCCCGATGCAGGACTGGATCCTGGGACACCAGGATCATGACCTGAGCTGAAGGCAGTCGCTTAACCAACTGAGCCACCCAGGCGCCCTGGATAATAGTTTTAAAAGAATAACTAGCTGGAATTTAAATAAAAACTTGAAACAAACAAAAATATTTGGCAGATAAAAAAATCAAATTGCACGGCTCATTGTATGTAAATTATTAAAAAATAATTACAAAAAAGAATTAAAAATAATAAAAAAATCCACCAAATATCTTACTTCCTATGAATGCTGTATTTTTTTCCTTCGTTGAAATACTGACACAGATGATTCCTTATAGAAAAACAGTATAGTCATAGTAATTTAAAAATATATTTTAATGCTTACTTTTCTTCACTATGCTCCCTGGGAAGCAGGATGTAACTCATTTGATTGGAAAACAATAGTGCTGTTGAACTGTTGAAATTCTTCAGGATTGCTACAAGAAGAGAGTTCTGAGACTTTGCTTTTGTTTCCCTGTATCACTCATCCATTTACTTCTTCCCTTTTTTCTTTCTACGCCCGATTGGCCCTATCACCCATCCTTTTAAATCATTAATCTCTTCAGAATTCCTTCATTTCCTTTCCAATTCTTTCATCTATCAAAGATACAGCTGCTGCTTTATTGGTCTTAGTAGTAATTTCTAGTATTTAGCATATTAGCATCTTTTCAGTAAACATCTGTATATTAACGATGGGATCATGATAGGAGAATAGGAAAATAATGTACTCTAAAAATTACCTGGACCTCTTTCGCTTGTGTAGGTAATAACATTGGTATTGAATCTTTGGTAACGAAAATATAGGGACTTGGAGCCAAAGTGATTACGGCAGCTGTGTACACACTTTTGGCACCAGGCCGACTTTTTGGGCCTTTCGATAACTAGCATTTGCAGGCTTCATTACTCTTCCACGTTCGTCGGATTCTTTCCCTGAAGGAAATAAAAGAAGGTTGTTGGGGGAAACTGTATTAAAAGTGAGGATCAGGGGCGCCTGGGTGGCTCAGTTGGTTAAGCGACTGCCTTCGGCTCAGGTCGTGATCCTGGAGTCCCGGGATCGAGTCCCGCATCGGGCTCCCTGCTCGGCGGGGAGTCTGCTTCTCCCTCCCCACTCCCCGTTTGTGTTCCCTCTCTCGCTGTGTCTTTCTCTGTCAAATAAATAAATAAAAAAATCTTTAAAAAAAAAAAGTGAGGATCAGGAATGGTTGCCGATTTTATCTAAATAGCAGGTGAAAACAAAGCAGAAATCTGGGGAACCGTAAGCATGGGAGATCACTTGTCAGGGAAGAGCGGAGAGCGAGGATTAAGGGATCACCGGAGCCGGAGAATTACAAATGCTTCTGACACCTGCAGCAAAATTTTCCATCCACGCAAGGCACCCTGGGGGGAGGGGAGCAGCAGCGCCGGACCGAGCCGTTATCCCGGCGATTGGCCGCGCCCCCTCCGCTTGAGGGGCAGCGACGGTCGGACCCCGCCCCCGCGCCGCGGGTGGGCTGTGGGGGCAGGGCGCGGCCGGGCGCCTCCCACCTGTCACTCAACAGGCCGCGGCGGCTCCCCGCCCCCCCGCGCCCCCCCGCCTGAGAGGCACTTCGGGGCCGCCCCCACCCCCGCTCCGCCGCGGGCCTCGCCAGCTTAAGTCACAACGAGGTCCGGCCACCTGGGCGCGCCCGGCCGGACGGCTGCGGGGCGGGCGCCGGGTGGCGGCGCTGAGGGCTCGCTGAGAGGAGCTCGGCGGCGTCTGTTGGAGCCGCTCCCTCGGTGGGCCGCCGGCGAGGGCATGAGCGCCGACTGCCTGTGCCTCAGGAGCGGCGGCGGCGGGAGCGGCGAGGGGAGGAGGCGCCGCGCAGAGGCCACCGTCCAGGGCAGGAGATGTGCCTGTCCTTAGCGGCACAAGGAGCAGCATGCACCCCGATGCCACCGACAGCAGCGGCGCCGGCCTCAACCTCGCGCCGGCCGCAGCCACCGGCGGCCGCCGTGCCCCGAGCGCCCCGGGCGAGCTGCGGCCGGACCCCCGGGAGGACGCGGCGGCACCGGGGGCTCCTGGCGGCGGGAGCTGGCGAGTGCCGGTGGCCGTGGCCGCACTCGCCGCCGTGTGCCTCTCCTGCCTGGGGCCCGGTTGGTGGCAGGCGGCCGGAGGCGCGGGGCCGTGCACCGTCCTGCTCGGGCTCAGCCTCTACACGGGCTGCGCCGCGGCCGCCTTCCTCCTGGGGACCCTGTTCTCCCTCGTCTGCCGGAGCCGGCGAGCCCCGCCGCCCGACTTCGTCGCCGCCTGGAGACGGCTGGCCGCGGCCGCCCGCCGCGCGCCGGGGGTAAGTACGGGTCTCTCCTCTGCTTCGCGCGCCCGGGGCCTCGGCCCGGCCCTCCCCCGCTTCCGGTGCCAGCCGCCCGCTCTCGGAGCCCCGGGTGGCGGCGGCGGGGCCCGTCCTCTCCGCCCCGGTTGCCCGGGGGGAACGGGGCTGGCGTTGCTCGGCCCGGCCGGCAGCTGCGAGCGATCCCCCAGCTCCGGCGGGAGGCGGGCTCCGGGCTCCTCCGGGCTTGCGAGATGCTCGCCGAGATGCACGTTGTTAGGCTATGTAGTTGCTCCACAGCCATCCCCGGGCACAACCTTGATAGCTGAATAATCATCCCAAATCTTGGATGTCGCTCTGCAGTTGGCGACGGAGCCCTCACTGTGCGCACGCGCTGCCCCCTATATCGGTCATTGTATTTCTAACCGTTCCCTGGGGGAGGTAACTTGATGACCTTTTACCGACGCGGAAACTTGTTCAGAGAGGCTAACTTGGCTTGGCAGTACCTCTCACCCAACGCTGTGTTCACTTTTCACCACCCCATCCTGCCGTCCACTACGTAGAGCAGTAGCGCAGCCCCAGCTAGTTTCTGTGATTTCGAAAGGGGATGTCAGAAATGACTTCAGTTTGCAACAAAAGGAAAAGTACCCCCAGTGAGGTGTGAGACAGCAGGGCGGTGGTTAGGGAAGATGGGAATGAGCTCTTCTCTGCCTTAGTGCCAAACCGCTGCTTGATCAACCTCCCGGCTTCCTCTGGTAACCCTCTAAGTTAAATTTGATTCTGTTGTAGCTTGTTAGCTTGTTGTGTTTGGGGTGCATTATGCTGAGGCTGAGATTTGTTTCTGCCAGTGATTTATTTAACATGGGTTTACTAAGAGAATTATAACTAATATTTCATAAGCCAATAGGATACAGGATAATATCTCTAAATAAGCCCGTGAAGAAATAACTATACTCCATAAACCAGTGGTAGATGAATACACTATTGTTCTAGGCGATGGGGAAATAAAGTCCAGATTGACTGACTGACTGATTGATTTGGAATTGGTTCTTGGTAGAGTCGGTGCTTTCAACCAAAAGCTGGGTATTAGCTGCTGGGACACAGAGCTGGTGGACAGTGGCGTTTGTGTTGGCAGGCAAGGCGAGCTGCTCTGAAGTTTAGTGCTTTAGGGACAGTTACACAGTTTGCACCACTGCCTGTGAGAAATCGGCTCACCAAGGCAGAAACAGATGTCCCTTCCCCTCCTGAGACTGCTGCCTGGTTTAACACCCCTGCTGACCAAGAGTTGCCTGACCACAGCAAGAGCAAGTGTCTCAAGATCTGCAGAGAGCTGTTCAGATCAGCAGAGAGTAGCCTTGCCCAGACTGAGCACTCTGGGTAGAGTCCACACAAATTACTGGTATTTAAAGTTTGAGTGTCCATTACGTCATACTTATTCTTCCATATGTTTAGATGGCTAAGCACTCAAGAGCACAGTGCTTCTGCAGATCTCATCTTGACACGGTTTCTCAAATTCACCCTCCGATCAAACAACTTCACTTAATTTAAAAATGTGGATTTGAAATCATAACCAATACACAATATAATTTGGCACTCACTGCTTGACTGAATGATATTGTCATTAAACTGAAATTGCCCAACCACTTTAGGGTAAGGGAAATGGCAGTGGTTCAACTTCATAAAAATATTTGTTAGAAGGACCATTGCCCCCTTGGGTTTTGTATTTGCTTATAATATGATCTGCTTACTGTTTTGTAAATATCATCACTCTCTTCATCAAAATTACCCTGTCCTGAATCGGTCACTTCTGAGTGCAGCCCTCAGATAATGGCTGGAGGGTTGTACGTAAGGGAGTCAGGCATCCTCACTCTGTAAATTGATTAAGAGTTCAGTATATTGGGGTGCCTGGGTGGCTCAGATGGTTAAGCATCTGCCTTCTGCTCAGGTCATGATCCCAGGGTTCTGGGATTGAGTCCCACATCGGGCTTCCTGTTCAGTGGGGATCCTGCTTCTCCCTCTCCCTCTGTCTGCTGCTTCCCCTGCTTGTACACTCTCTCTCTGTCAAAAATAAATAAAATCTTAAAAAAAAGTTCAGTATATTAAGGAACAGGAGCTTCTGTTTTCCTCAGTAGTCTCAAAAATTAGTAATGTTAATTTCTTTTAAAAGCCTTCATGTAACAGTCCTTTTTTCTCCTATCTAATTTAGCAAGAGTTGGTGGGCAGGTGTATTTTTCCTCTTGATTTTTCTCTACAATGATAGAAAATAAGGATCCCGATTTTACAAGCTGGCTTATTGATTTATAAATGATGTCCCCATTCTTTAGAGTATTGTAAGAAATTATAATTCAGTCAATACGTATTTATCGAGTGTTTTATATGAGCCAGGGATTATTCTGGAAGCTGGGATTGAATCAGTGAGACACATAAGAACCCTACTCTCTGGAGATTATATTCTTATGGGAGATCAGGCCATAAACAAATGAGATATTTGTAGATAATGATAAATGCTTATGAGACAAAAAATAGGAGTCAAATGATTAAGAGTTCCTAGTAAGTGAGAGCAGGAAGTTTAGATGATGAAGTCAGGGTCAAAACCCGGGGTATTGCATTTTGCCTCTGAAGCTGTAGAAGCCTTATGTTGTGGGTTACTAACATTTCCCCAAACCCCCCAGCTCATTTATACCTCTGGGTAGATAAAACTTGGATTAGCATCCAAAAAGATGGTTTAGTAGAGGAATTCGAGAAAATAGTACTTTTTTTTTTTTTTAAAGATTTTATTTATTTATTTATTTGACAGAGAGAGACACAGTGAGAGAGAGAGCACAAGCAGGGGGAGTGGGAGAGGGAGAAGCAGTCTTCCCGGTGGAGCAGGGAGCCCATGCGGGGCTCCATCCCAGGACCCTGGGAGCCACCCAGGCGCCCCGAGAAAATCGTACTTTAAATAAGGTGACAGAAAATGAAGCAGTATATGTAATCCTTAATGTATACAACTGGAAGATTTCAGTTAATAGAAGAAGTGAAGTATAATTTTAAGGAAAGTAGATTATTGGTCGTTCTTTGGAACTTGGATTCTTAGAGTAGTCTTAAATGAGAAAATAAGGACATTAGGAAAATGTAGTTTCTAAGCTCTATATTGTAATTGAAATGCGTATTTTTCACATAAAATTTTATTTTTTTGACAGGACTGGTGTTATTTACTCAAGCCTTTAGTTGTGCTGTATTGTTTATTTATTTTACCCCTTCCTCTAGTTGTGCTATATTTCTAATTTGTATTTAGGTATTTTTTTTAATGTTCTGTTCTTTATGAATGGAAGCATAAGCATGTGGTGTAGTATAAAACATGTCAGTTCTGTGGGGGTAGGCGCTGGACCACACAGGTCATCTAACATATGTGGAGGGGGAGGCTGTTTAGTAGTGAACCAAATGGTGCCTCTTAAGATACAGTGACTACTTCACTACAGAAATTTTGATTCAGCATGAAGAAAAGAATCCTCATTTTTCTTACACATTTTGGATTCTTCTAGTATCAGCCAGACAGGTCAGAGGCTGGGATCTATCCTTCTAGCTGTCCATTCTTCCTTCCTCTTTTTTTTCTTCTTGGTCTCCTTCTATAGAGAAAAAAAAAATGCATACACCGTTAAAAGTAAACAACCTCAAAGAAGCCCAAACTAAAAGTGACAAGGGGTTTTTGTGTCTAGAGTGTTTAAAATGCTTCTGCATGCTTCACAGTGTACTTATTGGCTGTAAACTCCATGTGGTTAGCACCCATGATTGACACCTTTTGTTATATCTTGCACTTAGAAAGAACTCAAGCAGTGTTTGCAGATGATGATAAAGAAAATTGTTCTCTCATGCTTTCCCCCTCCCATTAATCCAGTATTAGTATTTATTGGGAATTTCCCATATGTGCATGAATTTTGATTTTTTTGGGGGGCAGGAATTACTATTGATTAAAATAGTAAAAATATTTTTCAACTCAAGTAGAAATAATATGTAGCGGTATATACAGGTACTAAGGAAGCTTTTTTGTAAGGTCAGGAAAGTCTTACAGGTGATATCTGGGCCCCACTTTAGAAAAACTTGGACTTTGTTACAGGCCAGTGGACTGGAGCTATGATGCCCTGGGGCTGCCCTGCTCCTGGGGTGAGAGTTGTCTTATGCCAGGCCAGTTAATTTGTCTGGCCCAAGAGCCTCAGCTTCACTGGCCACAGTTACTTGACCCTAGCACATCATCTAACTAAGGCAACAGAAAGAGAAAAATGGCAAAAGTGAATCAGTAGTTTAGAAAACATATTTTCTTTACTGGACCTGCCATACAAAGTGCATCTTCATATAATGGAAAAAAGGAAAATGATTTTTACAATTATTCTCATAGTCTATGGATTTTCTCTTTCACATTGTTACTTACTAGATGTTTCTTCATTTATGGCCCATAAATTCAAAAATAAGCAATGAATTCATGATGATCAGAAGGCTGATAAAAGAAAGTCCCCTTAGTAGCATATGGGAAACCAAAGTCCACTGCTATATGAAGAAAACATTAATGAGAGACTTTCCAAAGTTCAAGCAGATAGAAGAGTTCACGTGGTTGATCAAATCTAATTAATAGGAATTTACCGAATATCTGCTACATATCTGCTATTATGATCTTATTAGATCACTTTTTGCCTAGTTAGTTGCTGAGTGCCTGTGCCCGGCACATAGTAGGCTCTCAGTAGATCAGTTTTGCCTGAATAAATGGATTATTGTTTGAGACAAGACAATCCTACTGCCATTTTTAATCAAAATTTTAATTCCAGCATCCTAGAGAAGGGTCAGAGCCTTGCAATATGTGTTACCAAGAGCTTGGGAAATTGCTCTCTGGAAATGCAGAGCAATGTTTTTAGTGTTGGGGAGGATTCAAAGATGAACAAGAATCTCCCTGTCCCTGCCCTCTCAGGCTGAGTAGATGGGACTGACAGAGAAGACTGGATGGGAGAGGCCAGATGTTTATAGAGACAGTAAAATATTCACACAGCAAT